CCACGCCGCGCCGTGCCGGCGCCGGGCTGCAGGATGGGCTGTATCCAAAGCATCACCTGCAAAGCGCGGATCCGGCGCGAGAACATCGTGGTGTACGATGTGTGCGCCACCATCGACCAGTGCCCCACGCGCATCGAGGAGACCTCGCCCATCGTCCTGCGCTACAAGACCCCGTACTTCAAAGCCTCGGCCCGCGTGGTCATGCCCCCCATCCCCCGCCACGAGACCTGGGTGGTGGGCTGGATTCAGGCGTGCAACCAGATGGAGTTCTTCAACACCTACAGCGACCTGGGCATGTAAGCGACCCGCCGCGCGGCACGGGAGCGGACTCTGGGCCCCCAGCTCTGCTCGCCACCTTAACCCCCCTCCCCAGCTCCTTCCTACTGCTGTCCCCATCGTCTTTCTAAACCTTCCTCCCGCCTCCTCTCCCACCTCCCTCCTCCCTACGCTTTTGTTTCAGTGACAGGGCGGGTGTAGGGAGGCTCCTCGCGAAGGCATTTTCTCGTGGTTTGCTTCTGACTCCCCAGAAACGCGAGGAGAACGGTGCGGGGCGGGAAGAACGCGACAAGGAGGGTTCGAGAGGCGGAGGTGGGGATGGCTGGCGAGTGCCCGGCGAGTTTCAGGGCGCCGTCTGTGCTTTGTGGGGCTCCCCGGGAAGAGTTTGGGGGAAACCACAGAGGAGTGGAGTGGAGTGCCGGGGGCGCATGGGCTGTGCCGCGTGTCGTTTGGAGAAACCGGAGCGGGCTTGGAAGAGCAGGTCCCGGGCATCCGAGCGGGAGTTGGTAGTTCTGTCCTTGCCCTCGCGACTGTTGAATTTCGAACCCTTTTCCCCCAGGCCAGGGAGCCGGGAGGCGTTTCCGTCTGGAACCACAAGCCGGACATAGTTGCCTCTCTTGTCTCCGCGCCCCCTGGACCAGTTCTGGTGGGGAGCTGGAAGGCACCGGGTGCGTCCCGGCGAAGCAGGGCGGATGGCCTTGTGCGAGCAGCCTTCGGATGGCGCGGCGCGGAGTGTTTCTTATGCTAAAGGGAAGGATGGGTCTCTTGTCTGTCTAGGGTCCTTACTTTTCAAAACTTTCCTAACTGCGGCACTGGAAGGGATTCCCCTGGCGCCCACCGCCGAATTCTATCGGCGAGCTGGGAGCTCTCCAACTTTCAGCAGCGCCGGTTGGTGCGCGCCGGGCTTGGCTGCTGCGGTGAAGACCGAGGATCACCGCGGCTCCTCAACCGCCAGGGGCCGCAGGCTGTGGGCGATCGCGTCCAGGACTTTTATATTTACCAAATTTTCGTAACTCCGCACCCGCCTCCTTTCAGAACTAGACTCTGAGCAGGTGGCAACGACAATAGCTAAAAGGTTTAGGGCCTGCCTTCTACCTGCTGTTACAGTGTAGGTCTAGAACACCCTAATTAGCCTGCAGCCTACAGGGAAATCCTTTTTCTGGAAATTCAACTTCATTTCACTTACTGATCTAAAACTCTAGAGCTCCCAAGGTTCGCCTATTTAATATGGATATGGGGTGGGGGAGTTCCCATTTTAAAAGGTCAAACCATCTTTTTAGCAGCAGTTTGCAGGCTTTTTATTGCACTCTGAGAGCATGTAAGTTAACAGTAGTCATAGGCGCTAACAGAAATTTTGACAGGTCGTTGTTTCCTTTTTTCCTCCCAAAGATTTTGCACTTTACTCTTTGAGCACAAAAGCTTAATGCTAGAGAAAACTCAATTTCTAGTGAAGAAATGTGAGGCCCAGTTTCCAATATGCCTCTGCACACTGTATTCTTTCTGGAAGACAGCTAGATGTGAGAAATGAAGGATATTTTATTTTGGGTGAATCATGTCATTTAAAAACAGACACACCCTCAAAAGAATGATTATATGTGAACACATGTGTCTCTTAAAACTGCTTTTTAAAATAAATCCATTATTTCCAGCCAAGTCAGAGAAAGCCACAGGCAGGGCCAGAGCCCTCCCTCTCATTCCCCTGGCGTCACCCTGATGACGGTGGGTTTTTGGAGGACAGCAACTACTCCCCTCAACAGCCTGGGGCCTCTGGTAGAGGAGACCAGGAGTGACTGTGCAGAAGCAGCCTCACTTTTCCCAAGACTGCACAGCGGAGCTCTCTGTTGCCTCAAATCTCTTATGAATAAGTAAATCAAAACAAATACGTAAATACAGAATTATTTCCATAAAACTTATTTTACCTTAGGAGAAGTCAAGTTGAGATATAAACAGACATGGTAGTTGAACTTCGTGGAATCTGTAGGGAAGATGTCCTCATTGGAACCAACTTTAATGGATATGAATCAGTGATAGGATTCCTGACCCTTCTCTACTGAATCCTTGCATTTGGGATTTGGAAAGAGGTTTTGTTTTTAAACTGCCACTTTTGGTATTTTAAGAATCTTGGTTTTCATGTAGATGTAGGAGAGCAAAAATAGACCCCCAGTGAGTAATAAAGCATATTATTATAGACTTGTGTCCACAGTCTACCTGTTTTCTTCATGGTTGCAATAATTGCTATGTGTTTAAGGCCACTTTGGAGCCCAGATTTGAATGAACCAATTTCCACAAGATATTTATGCCCAGAAAACTTTGCTAGTGTAAACTTTTTAATGGGAACTCATATTGCATGAAAGTTACAGCAGTCTATTAGTTATTATGTGTACTTTAGCCAATACCTGGATTGTAAAAAATAGCATGGAGTGAATTTTCACCCCTGTGCAGTGTTCTGCATGAACCACAATATGGTGAGAGGGTCTGGGTTAGAAAAGTGCCTTTTCATATTTTGAAAAGGATTGTGCCGGAGGAAATCCACAGCATAAAATGATAAGAAACTTCTGTTTTACAGGATTGAAAGAAAGCCTGAGGTTTTGTGGTTTAAATTTTAAACTTTTCCAAGAAGGGGTAGGCTTCTAAAAGAACGTTTGAAATAGTTGATGGCCATGATGACCAGAGTTTAATTTGAACTTTAACTCATTGCCATGGCACTTCCTCGCATGATTCTATAGAAACCAGGCTGGTGAATAGTTGTGGCACCTATTTATTTCTCATTTGGCCCTGGTGAATCTTGCTGTTGCAGCCTTGAACAGACTGCTGTAAGTCTCATCCCTTGGGGAGCAAGGGCTCCTGACTTTCTCAACCTGTCAGTAAACAAACATTTACCAAATGCTTCTGATGTACAGGCAGCAGCACCAAAGGAAACAAAGGAATATGCAGGCAGTTTTCACTGCTTCTCATTCTAAGATGACACATGCAGAAAAAAGCAGTGCTCTTGGGCAGTGTGAAAGAAATGCCTGAGAGAGAGAGCTGGGGGGCCAGGCAGGGTGTTCTGGAGGTGAATGGACTCAAGGCAAACTCCGAGGTATGGGTAATATTCAGGTAGGCAAGGAGGAGGGACTGATTCCAAAGGGGAAGATCAGCAAAGATACGGAGGTAGGAGAATAGAAGGTGTTTTAAGGGGACATAAGTTGGCTGGAGTGGAGTGTTCAAGGAGAACAGTAGGAGATGAGGTTTGAAAGGTAGCTTGGGTCTGTTGGGTGGGCCCAGAATAACACAGTCTGGTAAAGGGAAAGATTAAAGTCCGATCTTGACCAGACAGAGGGTGTCAGAAAGCTCTTCACACCTTCTTTATACCTCTTGAGTATGCAGAAGCTTTCCAACAGAGGTGGAAGATGTTTATAATGAAACAGTTTTGAATGCCGGAGTACAACGCTGAAGAGGTTTCCTGAGTAAGATTTAAACAAGGAATGGGGTTCTTGTGCCAGGGATGAATGAGGTGAAGACAAGGTCAGGGAAAACCAGCAATAGCTGAAGGCCCTTCTCATTCTCTTTGAGTCTTCTGGGGCTATAAGGGAACTCTCCATGGTCAGGCTAGGGCTGATAGTGTGGAAACCATCTCCTCTGCCAATTTGGAAAACTTTGGCCTGTGTGAAACTTTAGGAAGTCATAGCTCAGTCGTAGCTTCAAGAGACAGCTCCCGCCTGTCCCTCTACTCCTCCTTCAGAGCCAGGGTTATTGAGGATTTGGCTGTACCTACCCACCTCTGTTGCCTGTTCAGTCTAGTCCAAGCTGATTTCTATCCATTCTGAAACTGCTCTTGCTAAGTTCGTCTGTGATTTCCATGTTGCCGAATCCCTCAGACATTTTTGAGAGACACACAGTTTCAGCAGCATTCCTTGTAGACAGGCTTCTCTGTCTGGAACTACTCCTATCTTTTAGCTTCTATGCTATTTTTTTCCGCTGTTTCTCTATCTCCATATTACCTCAATATACAGTTAATGGGACTTTTTTCTTCTGGTTCTGTGCTTTCCCTGGGTAATTTCATCCGTCCTAATTGTGGGAGATAACCTCTGTGATACACAGTCGCCTCCAGTCTAGATATGTGTGTGTCTTCGCACAATAATGACGTGACACAATGAAAGACATCTCAAGCTTAGGGTATCCAGACCCGAACTCTTGATCCCCACTATAGCTCCCACCCAAAATCTGCACCTTTGTCGTTCTTCATCTTAGTAAATGACACCTCCACTCTTTGAGTTGCTCGAGTGAAACCATCTCTATGTCACCCTAGATATTTCCCCACACATCCAGCCCATCATTAAATCCTAGTGATCCCATCTCCAGAATATATCTGTAATCCAGCCACCACTCTCTCTGTCTACTGCTACCATCTCAGGACATGTCACCATCAACTGTCACCTGTTCCTGCAGAGACTTTCTAACTGAACCTGTCACCACCATTCTTGTCCCCCTCCAGTCTACCTCCCACATAGCAGCCAGAGTGATATATTAAAAATGTAGATGTTACTACTTTCTTGCTTAAACCTTTTAATAACTTACCATTGCAATTGGAATAAAATGGGAAAAATCTCTTGCATGGGAGGCCAAGTGGGGGCAGATCACTTGAGCCCAGGAGTTCAAGACCAGCTTTGACCAAGATGGTGAAACCCCATCTCTACTAAAAATTCCAAAAATTAGCTGGGCATGGTGGTGCACGCCCCATTTACTCAGGTGGCTGAGGCATGAGAATCACTGGAACCTGAGAGGCGGAGGTTGCAGTGAACCAAGACTGCACACTCCAGCCTGGGTGACAGAGTGAAACTCTGTTTCAAAAAGAAAGAAAGAAAGAAAATCTCTTTCTGTTCTGTGAATTTCTGTTCTTAAGCGATGTCTTCCAGTCTTTCAAAAGAACCAACTTTATCCCAACTCAGAACATTTCCATATGCTGCTCTCCATCTGAAATGTGCTTTCTCCCTGCACTGCTCTAGCTAATTCCTGCTGCTCATTCAGGTCTCAGCCGTTA